GGAGTTGTACTTTTGACTTACAGATTGTGCTCTAGCCAAGGAGAGTGCTGACTGGCTGCAGTGTGGCGGGAGGCTGGGCTTAGGATACAAAAGAACCTTTGCACATGATGGAGGGTGAAACCCCTGGAATATGTGTCAAGGGGTGATGTTTTTTCTCTGTAAGGGGGGCAGGGAAGGAGGGAAGACAATGGAAAGGCAGGAATCCAGTGGCAACAAGGCAGACTAAAACCCCATTTGGATCCCAAAGAGATAACTCGTCATATACACAGGCAAGGAAAAGCTGAGTTTAGTTGGGCATGCACCCTGGAATTTAAGAAGGCTGACTTCAGGTAGCTTAAGGAGCTACAAGTTGATATCCCATGGTCAGAAATACTCAAAGAGAAGAGAGTTCAAGATGGGTGGGAGGTAAAATACTGAAGGCACAAATCCAGACAATTCCCACAAGAAAGAAAAGTGGTCAGCACCTAAAGAAACCTGTGTGCCTGCCTAATTTGCTTGCAGATGAGCTGAATTGTAAGAAGACCATCCAAGTCGGTGGCCATCACTGCCTCATGTGAGAGCAAAGGCCATAGTTTAACTCGGCACTGTGTGAAGAAGTGCTTTATTTTGACTGTTCTGAGTTTTCCAACATTTAGCTTCCTCGGATGTCCATGAGTTCTAGTTATGAGAGAGGGAGAAGAACTTCTCTCCTCCCTCCCTCCCTCCCTCCCTCCCTCCCTCTCTCTCTCTCTCTCTCTCTGCCATGCAAGATTTTACAGCCTTGTATCATGTCACCTCTTACTCTCATTTTCTCCAAACAAAAAAGTTCCAGATGCTGCAACCTTTCCTTGCAGGGACATGATTAGCACATGTGCCTTTGGTCAGGAGGCTTACAATCTATGTCAACTCAGCAAGAGAGAGATGGAGGGAAGAAGCAGTTAAAAGAATGGGGTTGTATGGGGTAGTCTTGTGGTCAACTGAACCAAAGCAAAGGAGAGCAAGAGATGTTTCCTGGCCTTCAGACACCACCATTTCCCCTTCGTTTGATGCCATTTGCAAGGAACACTGAAGCAACTTCCATTCTAAATAATCATTATATATGTGTAGGCTGTCTGCTTTAAGCTGAAGGCTGACATAGCTTTTTAATATTTTTACAAAATCTTGGAAGAATGCACTATAAAGGAGGTGTGTGTGTTTGTGTGTCTGGGGAGGGAAGCCCGACAGAGTAAATTCAATTTAGCAAACCCATCAATCAAGCTTCTAACCATCAAACATAAAGAACTTGGGCACATTTCAGTAGAGGGCACTCCAGACCGAGGAATCTATCCTTGCCAAATCCCAGGCATATTTAGAAACTCTGGCACATGAATCTCTGTAATGTGTACACAGGGCCTCATAACTCACACTGATTGTGGCTGTATTATACCTGATGCATATAAATTTAAACAAAATGCAGGCAGTTGTGGCTAATTCAACCACCAACCATTTTACTCACTCCCCCTTTACTTTTTTTCCTTCTAGGCCCTTCCTTTGTCTTCATTACTGCTGAAAACTAAAAAGCCCCTGAGGCAAAATTGCTTATTTCACACCTCTTTCTGGGTGGATCATCTTTCAAACGTGTTTTGATTTGGACTTGAAAATACTCTGTCCCATCAGCAATTCCCCCCCCCACTCCTTTCTCTCTAGAGATTAATAAAATGTTTCAACATTTGTCCTCTCTTGTAAGCAGTTTCCCTTTGTTCTCGAAAAGCCCAGCGTTAAAATTAATAGGATTGAGTCTCCCCATAAATCTGCTCTTTTTGCTCACGGGTGTGAGAAGAACATGAAATGGTTTTATGTCCCTAAGCAAACCAAAGCATTAAGAGCAGCGTCCCAGTGTGAACTGTGTCGGGAACAGGAAACCTTGAGCACATGCAAAGCACATGCAAAGCATACAAAACCAGGTCCTGTTGTTCTGGACCTTCTGTCCACCTTGTAGGGTTGCCAGGTGACTAGGAACAAATGACAAGGTTAGTAGGGTTTCTTTCTTTGAAACCAATGGCTAGCAGCCTGATTGTCTGAGGATTTTATGCTGTGCAGCTTCAGTGAATACACAGTTTTTGTGCTGGGCTCAGCTACTGAATTCAATAATAATAATAATAATAATAATAATAATAATAATAATAATAATGGACTCTGCCTGCTGTCTCCACTCCCAGTCCTTAACAGTCTGAGACTTTTTGAATTCAAGGGCTGGTGACCTGATAGCCAGGTACTGCCAGCTCTGATTGGCCGCATCTTTCCAAGGATTCAGGCATGAATTAGTCTGCCTGGTATATTTTTAGTAAGAGGGGCCCAAGTTACTGGGCACAGTTTAAGAAGTGAGACTGACAAGCATCAGGGATGTCTTATAAAGCCCTGAACTTTGGACCAGGTTACCTGAAAGACTGCCTACCCCTGTAAAGACCTGTAAAATCACATAGGTTATCTGAGGAAATTATACTGGGGGCACCATGCCATACCACAATGTCCCAGCCAGGGTTGTGAGCCTGAAATTGGCATTTCCTGCTGCTGCCCCTGTTGTGTGGGGTGCCCTCCTTCCCTCTGCTAGACATGAGCAGCAACCACCAGCTGCTTTAGACATCTTGTCAAGACCTGTATTTTTGCCCAGGCTTTTATCTCCTCTTGTTTTATTGTTTTAATATTTATTTTAGTCTGTATTTTGTTTTAAAGGATGTTGTTTATAGTATACACCATTTCAAGATTTTATAAAAATATGAAGAGGTTTGGAAATGCTTGTAATAAAATAAAAACTTAAAAGATAAAAATGGTTTTCCTAAAACCTGAAATGATCTCCCTAAGAAGGTTCATAGCAGCACAGCTTGTCCTGTTCTGGACTTGTTCCAGGGCATCAACCTCCTGGCTGCTGCTGCTGCATTGTTGCTTAGGAGGAACTGCTCATATGCCTTTTGCTAACTCAAAGGCGAGCTCAACTTTTTTTTATTTTCATTTTTGCAAACTACAGTTATATTTTTCACTTGTGTGTCCTTGACATTTCATGGGTGAGCTTCCTCCAAAGCACACATGGGAGTGTGCCTCTGCACAGGGGACTGTGCTTATTGTTAGCCTATCCCTGCACCTTGTTGACTGGCTGGGCATAAATTGTTTAATTTTATTTTGTAATGCACTTCAAGCTCTTTGATCAGGCAAGGCAGAGTGGAGGGCAAGGGGACAGCCAGCCGTTTTAGGATAACTTCGAAATGCACAAGCGACCACAGAGGGTAAGCAGCTTTGCAGCTCTGAGCGAGACCCCTCCTTCCAAACCATCCCGTGCCCCCTTTTAATGGGCTTTCAAGCATCCCCTAGAAGGCAGGCGATGGGAGGATGCAAGCAGAGAAGGTGAGGTGAGCATGCATATTTCTCTCTGGCATCTCGCCAAACCCTTTGTGGATCCGCGTTGCACGGTGAACAAATCAACCCTTCTGACTTCCCCGGGAGCAGGTGGGTGGGTTCGCTTGCCCTTTAACATGCAGAATGATCACATCTGATTAACTTAATGATTCTTCCTGCCTGGAACAAATTTATTCGCTTTGCAGTTGCTGAGCAATTTCAGGATGCTTCCAGTCGCTCCCGCTCTTGATTGCGGCTGGAACTCTGCAACAGCAAATCGGAGGATGAAATGTGCTGGTGTCTTCGCCTTGGAAGGCGAGGCCCTGAGAGAATGCCAAGGCGAGCTCTGCAGGATCAGCAAGACCTCTTTGTGGAGGCAGAGAATCACCCACATATTCCCCAAACTCTCTGCTGCTCCAGCACAGGGTTATTTACTACAGTGCCTGTATGGGAGGAGGCAGTTCTTGGAACTACCTCTGGCTAGCTGGTGGTACTTTTGCACTCCACTGTCACCTCCTTCAAGGCTGGGTGATGTCTGATGGGGAATTAACTCCTCCCTCCAGCCGAACATACCACCACCACATAAACGGAAAGGGCATAGCTCAGTGGTAGAGAATATGCCTTGCACGCAGAAGGTCCTACAGTTCAATCCCTGGCATCACCAGGTAGGGCTGTCAGAGAACTCTGCTGCAAACCCTGGAGAACTGCTGCCAGCCAGTGTAGACAGTACCGAGCAAGGTGAGCAATGGTCTGACAATTGCCTCGTACTAAGGCAATTTCCTATGCTCCTATCCAACGGGAGTCATTTATTCATTGCACAGGGTTCTGTGCCGCAGGAGGGACGCTCAGGAGAAGCTTCTCCCACCCTCTTCATTGTCCAAGGGCAACACAACAGCCCTGCAGTGCTGCCAGTGGGTCTTACTCTCCGGTAGTTGCTTAGGAATGAACTCCTTCCTCCAGCCACGCAAGCAACTTATCGAATGCCAGACATTTATTCATTGCGAAGGGTTGCACCTCCTGCACCCCTCTTGAAATGAACATATTCCTGGTCTCAAAGCACCCTTTGATTCCAGGATCCTCCCCCTCCCCCTTCTTGACCGAGAGAACGGAGTTTATCTCAGCGGAGGCTCAAGCAGTGCTCCTTACTTAGCCACCACGGGGAAGTGTCGGGACCAGAGCCTCCCGCGTCCCAGACTTCCTTTTCTCCACTCTCGATGTAGCGCACCGAAAAGCTTATCCCTTTTCGGGTCCCTCACCCCACGCCCTGACGCTCACAGATGGCTGGATATTTGCCAGCTTTCCTAAGGAAGAGTCTCTTCGGGCGAGGCGGTGGGGGCTCTTCCTTTCAGCACTTCTTCCTGCAAAACTCCCCGCCGCCCGCGTCCAAGTTCTTAGAAACACGCGCATTTCACATGGGCGTTGTGTGCGTGAGTTGCGCGAACTCTTCGGGCTGTGCAGACTCTCCCCCCCCCCCGCGAGCTGGAAGCCTGGCGCCACAGTCACGCCTCGGCCCTCCCCGCTCCCAACTGGTTCCCTCCTTCGAGGCCTGCAGGGCCAGAGCTGGAGGTTCCGCTGCAGTGAGCCCCGCTGCCTCCCCCTTTCCTCCCCCTTCTCCTCCCGCCTAGCGGTCTTCAGATACCCAAAGGGGAGCCCCGTCGGGGCGGCCGCGGCCTCAGCCAGGAGGAGAAAAGCACTCTGCACGTGTTCAGAGGCCCTCCCTTCCTCTCCTTTCGGGCCACGTGCCTCCCAGAAGTCCCTCTCCCGGAGACGGGGCGAATTCCTCGCTTGCGCCTGGAGAACCCCGCCGTCCAGTTGGGTCGAAAAAGACCACTCCGTTTCAGCACCGGGACAGCTCCTTCAGCGCAGGGAACTACCGCCTCCTTCCCTTCGCCTAGCCGGCATGCCCTCGAGCATGTACAGAGTGCCTTCCCCCTCCGCCTGAGCCTCGGGGGCAGGGCTTGCCGGGCAGAGGGCGTGCCTTGCTCCGAGGCTTGAGCCCCGGCACCTCTCGGCCGCGATCCTCCCGCAGCAGCGGCGGCAGGAGCAGCAGGCCCCCTCCACGCTCCCCCGCCCTCCCCGTGTGGACGCGGCTGCACAGCTCCGCGCCAGGCAGAGCGAGCGGCGGCGGCGGGAGGCAGCGCCAGTCGGGGGAACTTGCGAGGAGGAAGGAGGCAGGCAGGCAGGCAGGCAGGCGAGCGCGCACCGGGCGTAGGGGGAGCCCGAGCCTCGCCGGGCGTGGCGGGGCGGCGGCGGCTCCGGCGGCTCCGGGTCCTCCTCCTCCTGCACGTCCCCGCCGCCGCGGAGGTCCGGCTCCAGCTGCCGCTCCTCTCCGCCAGGAGGATGCCCCGGGCTGAGGGGGAGGCGCCCTCCCCGCCGCCGCCTCGCCCGCTGCTGCCGCCGCCGCCTCTGGAGGTGTAGCGGGCGCCGGAGCCGGAGCCCGGCTGGCTGGCTGGCTCGCCCGCCCGCCCAGGATGCTGACCTGCTGCCGCCGCCCGCGCCCGCTCCTCCCGCCGCTGGACCGACGCCGCTGCTCCTCCGCCGCCTCCACTGCCTCCGCCGCCGCCGCCGGACTCTTCCTGGGGCTCGTCTGGCTCCACTCCTGCCACGGGATGCCCCATGTCATCCGCATCGGTGGGTGAGACGACAAACCGGGGCGGGGGGGGAGGGAGGTCAGGGCTCACTATCATGCTATCTCTTCTTTAGGGGGGGGCTGTCACTCCACTTTGGGGCGATTTTATTGGGTTTGGGGCTTTCTTGGGCGTTTGGCTGGCAATAGGGGCGGGGGGCGACCTTGATTGATTATTTAATAAAAGACCTTGAAAACGACCCTCTCAAGACTTTAAAGACGGAGTCGAGATATAGATATATATTTCTGCAAAGAACAGAGTTCTTTTGCTGGCAGGGGTTCTGTCTCTGAGCCAGAGGTGGCTTGGGGGGGGGGGCTTGCCTCTTCACCCTCCCTCCTCCTTACTTTGGCTTGTCCCCTTCTGCAATAGACGTCTAGCAGGCGACGGGAAGTTTGCCCCTCCCGCACCCCCACTCGTCCTTTCCCCCTTTCGTTGCCGATATAGACGGAGCTTTTTGCAGGAAGCAAAGTTTGGCTTCTCCCGCGAGGCGCTTTCTGATCTGTGTAGAGAGAGGATGCTGGCTAGAGAAGATGCTACGGAGGATGCAGCTTCGCCTCCGAGATGCTCTGGTCCAGCACATCCTGCGCTAAAGGGGATGCTGAGGGCCAGGCGCTGGAGGCTACATTTCCCTTTGTACAGGAGCCAGGTGCGAATGTGGAGTTTGAAATTTTGATGCTGTTTCCCAGCAAGCAGTTGCTGCCTCTGAATGGGTTCCCCCCTTCCCCCAATATTTTGACAACTCCTTCCCCCCAAATATAGTACCAGATTTTGTTGCTGCTGCCAAGGGTGATGTCTCTTGCCTTTGCTTTCCACCAGCCGGCGCAAGGCTTTCTCTTCTTGCTCCCGGGGCTCAGAGGAGTGGGAGAGAGGAACAGCTGTACATTTTTAGCCATGTGGCAAAGTGAATTCCAAAAGTCAAAGTATCTTTTTTGTGCCTTAATTAAAAGAAAACATTCCCCTGCCTTCTCTTCTGCCTCCTTTCCAGCATAGTTCAATTGTGGTTCCCTTTGTCTTTGGAAGTTCTTGCAGGAGATTTTGTTGCTTGGCATGGTGTGGTGAAGAGAGAGGAGGGGCAGCTCTGATACCAGGGCAGCCCTTAGGATTTCCTGAGGTCAACACACTCCCCAGCTAATAGAACGTGGCCCCTAGGGAAGTACTCCTGCCCCACTGAGTTGCCTAAGAGCACTGTGGCATTTGTAAGGGTATCTCCCCACCCCCTGTCTCCCCTGGAAGCAGCTGGCTCTGGGCTCACACATGCTCTAGAGTTCCTTTGTTCTTTGGCCCAGGAACAGCTGAATTGCCTCCATCAGGGAAGGGAGCCAGAATAGCCACCCCACCAGAGCTGGTGTCTTTGACAGAGAGGCAATCTGAGCTGGGATTCTGGTGAATGCCTTCCCTCCATTTCCCCCCTTGTTTTCCAAGTGTCCATCCAGCAGGCTGATTTCCAACTAACGTGAGGTCTGGCTTCTGGTCCAGTACAGGTAGTCTTTCCAGCCAAGCTCTCTGCAGTGCCTGTGGGTTTGTGCACAGTCCACACCATCCCTTGAGGATGGGGTAGCCCCTGTTGTGCCTGAACATGGACCCTCTTTCAGTCCCACTCCCATAGACTGAGCTGCTCAGTGTTTGGTGGATTGGGTAGACATCAGGACCTGATGTTCCATTGCAACTGTGCCTACTGTTTGGCTTCACCTGATGGGTCCGTTTTGTCCTGGGATGGCTGAATGTGAGCTTGGGGAGCTGGCAAACATCAAAGGAGCCCCCAAGAGCCTTGGCATGTATGTCACCTGAGGAAGGCTGCCCTGTGGGCCTAAGGGGCCTCTTCATAATGCAGTGATTTTTCCTCAATTTAATAAATAAGTAAAAATATATCTAAGATGGTTGGAAGGTCAACAGCCTTTTATGAGCTCTTGTACTCATGCTATGGATGCTTCAGGCAAATGGGTCCAATTTGATGCTTAATGTATGCTAACTGCAAAAATGAATGTGCATTTGAGCTGGGGGAGGGGGGAGGTTGTTCATCTGAACATGCACCATGCTGTGTTGCTTTCATTGACAATTTGAGAGTATACAGGTTTAACCTTGGTTGTAAACATGGCTGGAACATAAATCCAAGGAATTTGGATGCTTGATATACTGTTGTGTTTGTGCCATTCAAGAGTGGGCACATGGCCCCCTTTGGATATTTGAAAGGGGAGGGAGCTGGCCCAGCTAGCTGAACTCCACCTCCTGTGGTGTGGGATTTTCTCTGAGGTGAAAAGGCACTGGTGGATTTGTAGAAAGAGCAGAGAAGAGCTTGTAGTTTGCAAATGCTGTGGATTCTACCTTCTTGTTTGGATGGATTATTTCTAGAGGACCACTCAGGTGTCTCTGAGCCATTGTTTATTTTCCAGAGCTCTCTGTATAACTGATTTTAAAGGATGGAGAATAATTTTCTAAACTCTGCTTTTCCAATCTGCCTTGGCTAGGCTTTCCCCTGGAAGCTGGTGGAAGAAAACTGTTTTAATTTTTAAAAGGAAAAAAAGGATATATGTTGTTTAGATTTAATGCTTTTCTATGTAAAAATCTCTTTTCTAAAAATGTCACATAAAAGAAGAGAACTGAACAGCCAGAGAGACAAGAGAATTTGTAGCAACTGCGGCAATTTCAGGTTTAGATCAAAGTCAACACAGCTTTCCCGTGCTGAACTGTCATTTTTCCTTTTTAGGAATGCTACAATTTCATTCTTCCCGCTTTCTTAATTTCATTTCTTTGTCCTTTTGTGTCAACTTAAATCAGGTTTTACAATAAACTGAGTTCTAAAAAATCAGGAAAGTTGTTGAATTTCAAATAGAACAGCCTGGTTAAATGACAACAAGGCGTGATTCTGAAAAAAGAGACGGCTTGGAGTGGGGAGATCTATGGTTCTGTTTTTGCTGAAATCATGGTTTTTCTCAGTGAAAGAGAAAATTCCAGTACTTTCCTACATCGTTTCTGAGTTATAAGCATTGGGTTTAATCAGCATTGCATGCAAACAGAGGGAGATGTTTTTTACTGGAACATCTTCATGTTTTCTCGTGCAAATGTCATGCAACTTTGAGCATAATCTTTCTTTGAGTGTGATTTATTATGCCTGGTGCAAATGTAATTGCAGACACAGGACTGAGGATTTCAAAGGCAACGTGGGGGTAAATCTGGAACAGCCCAATTGTCTTACATGAATATTGGCTGGTGTAAGTGAGGTGGCTGCTGGTAAGTTTGCAAATGCAATTGAACAAAGTATTGTCCTTTGGAGTGAATGACTCCCCATGAAGCAAATTCATTTGGCATTTATGGTTAAATCGCATTTCTTGCCTGCCGTTCATTCATCTGAAGTTTAAAAGCCTTGCTGAGTGATGCAGCAGCAAGTCTCTGCTCCCCCTTGTGCTGCCTTGCAGCCTGTGACATCACAAAACCTCAAGAAACATGGCAAAAGCTTCCCTAAAGGAGACGGCGAAAGCCTCTCCAATTGCAAGAAGCCTTCGGACGTCACATTTGATTGCTGTGGCAAATCACTCATCTGATTGAAGCATCAATTAATATTCTGCCTTGTTGAAAGAGGTGAAATATACGCAGAGGCTAAAAGGGGAGGCAGCAGAGTCAAAATCTGGGTGAAATCTTAGACTCACAAGAGGAGTGTCTCGTTGCCATGGATCCTTGGGTTTCTGCAGGTGGCCGGTATCTCTCCAGAGTGTGATGATGCTCCTAGGTGAAGCATCCATCTCCCTTTTGCATTGTCCTACATGCACTGTGGACTTGAATGGGAAAATTGGTTTGGACCAAAAGACAATAGCTGCCCGGCACGTTGCCAAAACGTAGCCACCATCAGTCTTGGTGTTCTCCCACAGACAGCAAGCTTCTGCTTTTTTTTCTTTTTTCTTTTGCACAGAAGGACTGACAGCTCGCCTCACCCTAGCATTCTGCAGATTGGCGGTTGGAAAGGGTGCATCTTGTGTTTTGTGTACACTGTCGTCGTAAGCCCGGCAAGAAAGGGGCTTCTTTTTTTTCCCCCTCTTGGCTTGTGAGGCAGCTGGGACGAAGGCCACAATGCTGGTTTCGAAACAAACAGGCTGAAATAAGAGATGAGTTATGCTAATTTGTGACTGAGAAAGGAGGTTGTGCCATCAATTGTTTGGATAAAATACAAGTAACACAGAAGGGAGGCATGTGGGCGGTTGTAGTCTGCCGAAAATAAAATAGTTCATTGATTATTTTACAGAAATGTGTTGTGGACAAATTCAATTCATAATTACATTTCCTTGAGAGGGTAGCCTTTTTATTCCTGGGACTCATTATTCTGCTTGGCTTTTCTTTTTAGAAACATCGCTTCCAGTCATCCCCTCCAGGGAGATTTAACAGCGTCTCCCTGATACCTAACCCCCACTTCCAAATAATAATTTCACGATTGAAAACTGCAGTGTTCAATTGTGTCTGGTATTGTTCTGTGAGAAAAGAAAGAATCTGGAGGAAAGAGTCAGATATTATTTTATTTGGCTTGGATGTGATGAATAGCTTGGAGAAAATCTTGTTTCGTGGGGTGGCTGGAAGAAGTGATTTAGAAGGTGCACTCAAACCTTTAAGGAGTGCAACAAGTGTGTGGGGTGTTGATGTGACCACACTATGCCCGGTATCAGGAGATGAGTGATCTTGGAGAGCAATGCTTCCCCCTTTGAGTGTGTGTGTGAATGCAGCATTCCACATTCATTGGGGGTTGTGTGCAGAGCCTCTCCTGATTCTGCACACCTTGGATCGACCCACCTGCTTGCTCACTTGTACTTGCCACGCTGATCTCAGGAGCTGCAGTCAGCACTCAGAGGCAATGCCAGATTTGTCCCACTGTAAACCTGGATCGATGCCTTGAAAGATGACGACTTGGCTCCCAATTTGTGGAAGCGTAATTGAAAATCGATGCTATCGAAGTGAAACCGATACGGAGATGTTTGCAAGATCAGGGGTGATCTTGTCAGGATAATTCCTCAGAATTAGGGC